TGATGAGTATTTAAATCATCCTGCTCACTAATGCGAGCAAAGTGATATGAGCTCCATCTCCACTGACATCGACATTTATTTTACTGCAATCGTCCATTAAAACTAGTTGGTTTAATCGTATTCATTTCTGATGAGAAACTCTCCTGTGAATGAGGCTTGAACTGTGGTTTAAAAGGAGTCAGGCTTTGTTTTCCCCCCAAAAAATCATGAATTTGACCATCAAATTTCTGTTTCTTGATCAGTTTTGTCCATAGCTGCTTTGCTGGTTTAACCAAAACTCGTCTGAAAATGAATCATCTCTAAATATAACAGAGCAGTGTCATTAAAAAGCAATAAAACAAATTCCAAATGCCAATGAAAAAGACGAGCAGTTCCACCACGGCCATGAATCTGGTCTCCAAACTCTGCTACTCATCATTAAATCCTGTCATAAATCCATTTTTTGGGGAAATGTAAGTAAAACGACAAGAAGTTGTTTGATAATAAACATAAAACACGTCGGACAAGCCCTCTGAAGGTGAAGATGAGGACGAACTGGACGTGAAGTGGACGGTGTGGAGACAAATGAAGGTGAGTTATCCCACGGTGGCGTCTTTCTTCTGTCTGCCCTGCGCTGATGGGGTCAGTGGACGCCGGGCTGAGATTGGTCCAAAAGAGGATGAGAGAGGGACTTTGAACAGCCGGACATTAAGGTCACGTCTCGCTGAGGTTACTCCTACTGGACAGACGTGTCTGCCCCTGTCAGGGAACAGACCAGAGCTTCTGTTTGGTTCGTTAGCATCCAAAACCAGTCAGGACACACCGGTGGACTCATTTATGGTGACCAGTGCACGAAACGGCCTCCTGTTCCTGGTTTTTGTGAGCAGAATTTCTAAAACTCTCCGTGTCCAGATCCTTGGAAACAATCCTTATGCAGATTTAAAACTACTGAAACCTTTTATGTGCATTTTTTTCTTCGAAAAAGGACCTTTACAGACATATTCTTTAGTTGTGTGAACACACCTGTACACTGGAAGTGGAAAGTGGACAGTTCCTTGCATTTCAGCTGCATTTCCCATGACCGTTGCTCCAGTGGATAGTTTACAGGATAAAAATCTGAAGCATTTGAAGGAATGCATGCATTTGCAAAAAGGATCTGATATTAGTTTTTCTTTATACGTCTTTTGTAAAATGGCCTTTATCTCCCACAGAACTGTTACATTCAATTTTTAAGCAAACATGTCCGTTACACTGGGAGTGTAAAGTGGAACTGTGGTCAATTTAATCGGTTGTGTATCCAAAGTTGGCTAACGAAGCTGATTCAGATTTGGATGGTGTGTCTCCACTCCGGTGGAAAGAGATGGAGCGCTCCCTCCCTTTTTTGTTTCGGTGTCTCGGGATTACGTTTAAGCGTTGAGACAGGTAAAAGCCAGAGACGGGCAGATGATTTGGGGACGTGGAGGGGAGGCATGTTGTAGGAAGGAGGCAGAAAGTCAAAAGGTGAAGCTCCTGCTTCAGATTTGACAGAAAGAATGAGGTCACTGATAACGGGAGAAGGGGAAAAACCTGAAAGTCTCTCAGGAGGAGCTGAAATGTCCCTCGGGACGGGGATGTGTCTCCTTTCTGAACCTGGAACCCAAATCTCTGTTCTGTAGTTTTAACTGTTTTACCATTTTTTACAAAAACACTTCAGAAAATACAGTGCAAATATTAAAAGAAGAAAATTCATCCATCCTTCCACAGTCTGTAACACTTATTCTTTGCCGGTTTGCGGAGAGGTTAAAATTAGAAATGTAAATAACATATATTTCAAAAATACATTCAGGGAAATAAACCACTTTCTTCAGAGTAGAAATAAACTACTTTCTGCACAGCAGTTTATTTGACTCACAACATGCTCAGGAGGATGATTTCCCCCCGGAACTGGGAGCATTAACCAGTAAAAAACCGTTCTGAGTAGCTTCAGTTATTACAGCTGTCTGAGTTTTGGGTCAGCTAAACAGTCCAGTTTCAACAAATCTGATTTTTTTTCTCTTTTTTTAGGGCCAATTGCAGAGAAAAGATGTCACAAGCTCCCACCAGTCACTCAGAGGACTTCCAGTAGAATCCAAACCCGAACATGTGGGAGAGATACATGCGTGTGAGCACATTTTTTGCTAATTGTATGCGCCCTGCTCTCATTTCCGAACAATTTCAAAGTCACCCGCCAGCTCCATTTCTGTCCCTCCAAGGGTGGGTTTTTCCTCATCACTCATGTTTGGTGTGACGGACAGGAGACCGGCGCTGAATGGCCGGGTGGGGAATTCGGCCAGGAGCCGGATGGAATTGACAGAAATAAATATAGCCCCGGGCCCAGAGCGTGTGTTTGGATGGATTCAGACTCAAAGGAACTTTCAATTCATGGAACATGAAAGGACTTTTTTTTTTGGCCCGAAGACTTCACCTGCAGAACCAGTTTGTGTTTTTTCTTCCTGTTTAAATCAGGCAGGACTTTGAGTTTTCTGCCTTTGGCTCAGATCTAACAGCCC